GAGATAAAGCGGAAACAAAAAAAAAAAAAAAAAAAAAAGATCCAGAGATGCAGTATGAACAAAGCAGGGTCTCAAGGGGGCTCTCTGAGGTGCAACACACAAAGGTCAGGCTGACAGGGAAGACTGTGCGTGCGTGTGTGTGTGTGTGTGTGTGTGTGTGTGTGTGTGAGAGAGAGAGAGAGACAGACAGACAGACAGACAGGCAGGCAGGCAGGCACGCAGGCAGGCAGGCAGATCCTCAGCTTGTGGGTCTCTTGCGAGGCAGGCAGCGGAACCAATGAGCTAAATCCCCAGCCCCCTATGGGTCTCTCTTGAGGGAAACCTAATTTGGGCAGGTCTTAGAAACCTAGGAAGGAGCTCAGCCAGGAAGGCTGACCTACCTGACCCATGACGTCCTCATCGTAAGACAGTGTCAGGCCCAGGTCAGCGATGTCCCCGTCATAGCGCTAAGGCAACAGAGAGGGGGCAATGTTGAGGTCAAGGAGTGCTACATCCTTGAAAAGCTAACTGTTCCTTCCTTGAGGTGCTGTCGTGGTGGTGTTTACAATCATGCCTCCCACAGCATGAAGGAGAGAAGGCTGCTCACCACCCTGAGGGAGGAGGCTGTGGGTCTCCACCCTGAGAGGGAAGGTTCAGGAGGGACATGAGGACAGGGTAAAGCTGAGCCCAGCTAAGCCCTGGCTTAGCTGTGAGTTCCCACTAGCACCTGGCTTAGTCACCCACCATTCCACACTAACCTTGATGGATGTAAGGTTTTTATAGAACTCTGAGTCCAGAGAAGGAAGCTCATCCACGGAGCTATAGAAGATGCTGTGGTGGTGCCCAAGTAGCTGGCTCAGGAAGAAAGAGGCGAAGGGCACATCCACCACAATTCCCTGAGGGAAAAGACAAGAAACTTTCAATTCCATGATCCAGGATTCTGGCTCACGGATTGGGTCAGGGAAGTTCAGGCTGCAAGGGCGGCCCTGAACACACACTGGCAACTCTAAGCCCCTCTTAAGTTGTTGGTCTGCCCACTATTTAAAAAACCCAACTGAGGTCCACCTGCAGAGCATAGGGGTCATGGGCACAGGCTTTGGGGCCACGCCAGTCTGGGAATGAGACCCCACTTAGCTGCTACTGTCAGGCCAATGCTGTGGGCATTCTCAGCACAAACTTCTCAGTTATAGGAATGCAGAAGCACAACACTGATCCCTGCTAGGCTCTCAGCAGCCATGGGGACAGGTGCCATGGCATAGGGAGAGCACAGAGATGGGGTCTCACCTGGAGGCTGGCAGGGAAGCTTCCAGGAGGAACAGTTACATAAGGGAGGCCTGGAGGGGCACAAGGCCTTTGGGTGAGGACCACTGGTATGCTTCAGGGGTGCGGCTCAGGTCATCCGGCCCCTGCCGTGTGGGGGAGGCGAGTGAGCCGTGAGACCAGAGGCAGGGCCCCGTGAGCTGGCTGCAGTCTGCATCCCATCCCAAGGGCTCTAAGCAAGGAAGTGACAGGTTTGTACTCTATGTAGGGAGTGGACTGGAGGAGACAGAAGGCAGGGACACAGCAGGCAGCTGATGCACCACGGCTGCGAGAAATACAGACAGATGGAGCCGAGGCAGTAGCTAAAGAGTGGAGAAAGGTGCCTGTGGATTGAGAAGGGAGGGCCGCTCCAGCTCTGTGATGGTGGCGCTTCAGAGGTCCGTGAGGCTAACGGTGAGAACACACACCATTCACAGAGCCAGTGTGTCCTTGCTGTTTTCATCAGTCTATGACTGGCTGAGGTAAGGGAAGGGGGCAGACAGAGGAATTCAGAAAAGCAGGAGGCCTCACTTCTCAGTAGCCCACCACAGCTACATGCTTAAAGGAAAAACACAGCATCAGGTAGGTCCTAAATGGTTGGTGATTTTTTCATACCAAGGGCTGAACCCAGGGTCTTGTGCATGCTAGAAAGTTTTCTACCACATCCGCAGACCTGGTCTGTCTTTCTTTCTTTTAAATGGGAATCAGCTGAGAAACTTTCCATTTTGCAGATGAGGAATCAGGAACAGAATAAAATGAGGCTGCGTAAGCAACACCAAGCAAAAGAAAGACTGATATGTGCAAAATCAAGACAGGGCACTTGATTTCACCATGGCTGGGGCCTGAGGCATAGAGGCTTCCAAGAAAGGAACAATGAGCTATCAAAGCATCTGGGCCCGAGGCTGGCCACCTTCCTCAGCTACTGGCTCCTTCTCTTTGGAGGAAGCCCTGGGAAGGGCCCCAGCTCAGGACGTGGGAACTGAGACTCCCTGTAGCTTGTCTTTTTTCTGGGGGCAGGACTCTCAAGGCAGGTTCACTGCCTCCTGGAGAGCCTCACCTGTCCTTCCTTGGCTGCCGATGACAGAGATCAGGAGCTGTGGGGCCCACCCACACACCTTTCATGCTGAGGAACCCAAACGGAGTTCCTTTTAATGACAGGGAGGATGGTAAGTGTCTTCTGACCTGGGATGACCTCGGCGAGGGAGGGCTTCACAGGTATTAGCACATTTGCCACTGATACCAACCTAGCCATGCAGCTTTATTATCCTCACTTTACCAAGGAGGTAAACGCACACGGTCACCTGGCTGGCGAGAGAGGAGTTGGTCTGGACCAGCCGGTATGGGCTGTACCTAACCTTGTTCCCGACTGTAGGCAACTCTCAGGAGCCCCGCTCACTCTGAAGTACTCACTCAAATAACGAAAGATTTAAAAACAGTGGTAGAGCTGTGCTCAGCGTATGTGAGGCCCTGGGCTCCATCCCCAGAACTGCAAAAACCAACCAAAAAACAAAAACCCACACCTGAAACACACAAACTGTCCTCCTAAAATGAGGAACAAGGTTCCCTGTGGCCATGGGGCTCTGGCACATCACTCCTCGCTCAGGTGAGGGCTGGCTGAGGACTCAGGCTGGGCTGGGTTAGTATTCTGCTTCTACCGTCTACCACCAGAAGAGCGCGCTCCCACAGCCTCGACTCGCCCGTTCTTAAAGAACACAGTGGCCCATCACAGGGCTGCCAAGAGGAGTAAACGAGACGACACAGGCAAAGCACCTGGCATTTATATCAACAAATGCTGGTTCCTGTCCCTGGCCTTGATTTTACTCTGATGTCAGGCTGCTTACACCGCTGGGCCTGACCCCATACACGGACACGGACTCAGCAGTGCTGCTCAAGTTTCATTTCATACTCCTGCTCCATATTCCCCAGCGAGCCTACCTCATACACAGCCTTCCCCAGCATCTTCCCCACGAACTCGAAGAGCTGCAGGTAATTCTCGTGAATGTAGGACGTGGGCGAGGGGTACAGCCGCTCATCTCCACTGGTTGTCTGCCAGGCAAAAGGACAGGGAGAGGCAGAGGTTACATGCTTTGTCCTTCTGATACCTCATGTTCTGCGGCCACCAACCCCGCTCACACCCCCTTAGTCACCTTGAACAGATTGAGTGCGGGGTCGAACACCCTCTTGATCATCTCTTCCAAGAACTCCTTGAACACGCCGTCCTGATCAATCCCCGCCTCATCTACTCCAAGGTCATTAACGAACTTTACCCGGATCACGCCCTTCATAGCATGCTGGGAGAGCTGCCGCAGCTGCTCATAGCCATCCTGCCAAGGGCAGAATTACAGCCTATTAGGAACCATGGCCTTGTGCATAATTCAGGGCTCCCTCCCCAAGGACTACCCTCCCCCCGTGGGAAGCTTTCCTGGTGTAATTACCAAATGCGCAAGCCAGGACATGTGAGCACACAAGAGGAGAAAGCGGTTCTCACTTGCTTTTGAATGAGATCCTACTAAAAGGATTCATCTAGGGATGTGATGGCCTTGCTCTCTGGCAAGAGGAGACTGCCCTCAAGAGGACGCAGAGCTGCCAGACAGGGAATCAGACAAAATGAGTCATGACAAGCTCTCAGCCATTAGACAAAAGATGGACAAAACCAGAACAAGATGGATCTCCCGCTCTTTTAATGCTGAGTTATGTTTTAGCTCATGGGGAAAAAGTCAAACTTAAGGAACACTATGAAATGAAAAATCCAAGTATTCCTCACCCCTTAGCTCCTGGTGCCTTTTTCCAGATCACACAGGATCTCAAGAGTCATGCTGGGGTATCAAAGTTATATCCGGAGGACAAGTAGTAGAAAGGTCATAAGGATTCAGGCTAGAAAGATCTACTGGAGGTAGAACAGGTGGATAGAGTACAAGGAGCGGAGCAGAGAGCCCAAGGTACAGGAGCGAGTGCAAGAACAGTGGGGAGAAGCCTTGGCACACCTCCAGCTTGTGGCCAGCTCCTTCAAACGGCCATTTGCTAGCTGTAGCTCAGTGGTAAGGGGCGTGCTTAGCACACACAAGGCTCGGTTTTGATCACTTTATTTTCCCTTTCCAGACTCAACACACACAGCCCCTAGGAAAGAACTTTAGAATTCTGCTAAACTTTAGAGTGTCTCTTGATTATAATCTGTCAAATGCTTCCTAGCTTCCGACTGTCATCCAATGATGTATTACTGGTATTTGGGGTGTCCAAGTTTTTTATTTCTAAGCAGTGATTACAAAAATTGAACAGGACAGAGGCCAGGGAGGAGTCCTTTGGCCAACATGAGAGTCCCCATCACCAGAGTGAAACTGCTATGTTTAGATAATATCACATAGTGAGTTACAAATCAACCTGAATATGCTACTGAGGCCACATCTCCCTTTTAGTCACAAGTGCAGTGCTGTTGTATGTTTTGTTGACTGAATATAGATCATCTCATAGCATCTACCCGCCTGACAGTCTGATCAAAGCAAATGAGCAATCTACCAGTCTGGGCTCTGATTTGTGGGACCCTTGCTCTCTTCCTGCCGTTCTTACTCAGAGATCCAAAGGACTGTTTGGATGGGGCCTCTGAATCTTACCAGGGATTAGGCTCCCACATTAGTGGGAGAAGTCTGAGAACCATTAAGTCAGATGAAAAAAAAAAAAAAATGGAGAAACAGGCTGTCACCAAGCAGCTGAAAATCATTTTGTTGGCATTGTATTGAAGGCAGGTGGAAGATTCCAGTATGTTCCTGAGGGCGTGCAGATTTCTCCATTCTGCTTTAAAGTCACACTTCCCAACCATAATCTTCTCAGCAGAGGTGTGTGGGGCTCAGGGGATTACAGAGGCTGACACATGGGAAGCACTTAGCATGAGCTGGAATTAAAGAATGTTTGTGGAATTTAGATCTCAATCTCGATCAGGCCCATACCAGCCTTTAAAAAGTTGTACAGAGGAATCTGCCCCGTCTCCTAAAATATTTCCTGCCCTTTGGGAGCAGGAGTGGCTATCTGAGAATTATACACATGCCTCTTGGAAGGCAAGTGCAAGCCCAGCATTCCTTTCTCTACTGCACCTTGGTGTGCAACACAGGGAACACTGAGCTAGCAAAGGGAGGCCTGGCTCTATCACTGGTACCCAAGGGACATTGACTAAGAATCTAAATTTCTCTGGCCTCATTTCTGCCTCTGACAGGGTAAGGGGCAACAGATGGGTAAGAGTATGTTGCAGGCTCTTTCCAGTTCTGAAGCCTCAGCCTTGGTTCACTGTTCAGGAGGCAGCTTTTCTGCTGGACTTGGACCAACACCTGTGAGCCTTCCAGAAGCATGACCTTTCACGCTGGCCATGAAACAGGAGGCAGAATACGCACTCAGCAAAAGCTGGGCATGGTGGCTCATGCTTATAGTCCCAGCACTTGGGAGGCTGAGGCAGGAGGATCAGCCTGGGCAACTATGGAGAGATTGTCTCAAAAAATGAAAAGGGCTGGAGATGTATGTAGCTCAATGAGATGGCCCTGGGTTTACTTCCCAGTACTGAAGGGGGAAAAAAAAAAGCCCCAGGACAATTGATGTCAGGTTTTTGATACTCCCTTGTGTTCAGATCAAGCAAAGACCACTGGGCTGTCATTCTAATATCCAAACCATTAGATCACTGAATAAAATGCCCTTCTTTCCTTCCTCTTGATTTAATTTCATGATGAGGTGTACTCTATATTCTCACAGTAAGCAAAAAAGAAAAGGACTTGCCTAAAACTTTGCATACAATCCAGAGGGGTGGGTTTTGTTTTAAGGGGTCAGCCCAGCAGAGCTGGGTTTCTGAGTGATTTCCTATTAGCAAGGCCACTCGAAGAGGGCACTAAGCAACCTCATCACTCTCAGACGACACTACAGGGTACACTACACTCTTCTGGGATGGGTGCTGTCTACATCGGAGGGGGAGTGATGGTGGTAGGACTGAGGCTTTGAGTTACAGGGGAGCTGCATTTGGGTTTGAGGAAGGAAGTGGCAGAAAAGGGAGTTTTACAATACAGTGGGTCTGCTTTTTTTTTTTTTGGTACCAGGGATTGAACTCAGGGCCTTATGCTTGCAAGGCAGGTCTAGCACCACCGAGCTGAGTCCCCGGTCCGAGGCTTATTCTTTCTTTGAATAAAGAGAGGCTGCACACCAGTGGTCTGCAGGTTGAATTCAGTGGGAGTTATCTGACCTTCCAGGTGCCTTACAAAATTAATTAGTTCATAGCACTTGAGTGCCCTTATCCCTACTTTAAAAACTTTATTTCGTCTCGCTATGTAGTCTCAAACCCAGTATGTAGCTCATGATGGCCTCAAACTCATGATTCTCTGCCTCAGCCACCCAAGTGCTGGCACTTATCTCTACTTTTCAGAATGTCAAAAACATCAACTGTTTAACACATGCCATCTTTTCCAACAGCTCCTGGTGTCCATAACTTGGAGTCAGGGGAACTAAAACAAGCTCTCCAGTAAGAAGCAACACCAGCATGGTGTGGCTGTATGTGGGAGATGAAGAGGTGGGGCGAAGGGCTGCTGTCTGGAGCCACGTGCCGGCAGGTGGCTATGCGGCCCTGGGCTGCACTGACAGAACGTGGGACGAGGAGTGGGGGCCAGCGTGGGATACCAGGTCTAAAGAGCAACTGCGGCGAATAAATCAAGCCAAGCCTCACCTGGAATGCAGACTTGCAGCTCAAATGCCAGTGACATTGCTGGCAGGGTCAGCGCAAAATGGGTAGGTTGCGCACTGTCCCCAACCCCGGGAAGGATGTAGCACGACTGGGAGAGCTACCATATGGGACACTCATTTTATTTATTTTTAATTTTAATTAAAAATTAAAAAATTTTTATTTTATTTTAGGGACACTCATTTTACTACGTGTGTTCCAGCAGACTGTAGTCAGGGCATGAAAAATCCTATCTTGGCAGAGCATACTTTGTGATGGGCTCCCAAAGGCCTTGCCACGCACCTCATAAGAAATCAACGTGACATTTTTCTGATATATGGAGATATGCATTTGAGGACAGGGAAACTACAGTGGCAACTTGGTTCACAACTTAATTTGTTCCATGATTCTGGGGAAAAATGGCCACGTTAGGGTTCGTATGTAAAAGATGGTTGTGGTCATGTTTGTCACCTGATGCAGAGTTTGCAAACAAAAGCATCTGTAAACTGAGGCACCACTGTATTTCTACTTTACATGAAGCTGCCATATACTGGTGACTCTGGACACCGGGTGTGGCTTCAGAGGGAAACTTTTCTTGTATCTGGTAAGTTTACAAGGACAAAGACCTTCCAGCTCTGTGTGCGTGGCTCCGCCAGCGTAATGCCCCATTCTACCTGTACCACCTTCGCAGGCAGGGGTAAAGTACCTGCTGGGAAGAGAAGTCTGCACAGACCTGGAAACTGCAGTTGACTTCCTGTCCTCATTTCGGAGAGGCATGAGGAGTCTGATGCTCTAGTCCAGAGACTATCAGGGGCAGAAGAAGACACAGAGGGTCCCCAGTACTAAGGTGTGTTTAACCAAGCAGCTACACATAGTCTCTGGAGCCTTGATTTCAGGGTCATGAGGCCAAGGTGTGAAGAGAACAGTTCAGAGGCAAGACCATCAACTACAGAGCTGACGTGACAGAGCACACTTCTTTGTAATCAGTTTCTGCAGGCCGTGCCACTCACCTCCAACATCCGGGACCGTCGGATAGTAATGTGAGTGACGTGAGGGGAGGCAGAGCTGGTTTCCACAAGCCCCAGTTTTTCTTTCTCCTTGGTAACCATGTTTCGGAATAGGAGAACTCTCTGAAATGAGCAAGGGTAGGGGGAAACACGACGGAAACACAGTTAACAAATGATATTTACATAAAAACCACTCCATAGAATTACTGAAATTTAAGTCTCATGAGATGCAACCAGAATGGGACACCTTGATAGGTGCTGTTGGTCACAGTGTCTTGTGAGAACATTAAACATTTTCAAGAGCACTTCTGGAAATTAGAAATACGGCTGAACTCATGCCAAGGGAAAAGTGCTCCAGCAAAAGTAGTCAAGCTGCAGCCGGAGCCCAGCTAGGAATAATCCAGGAGAAAGTCATTGTTCTCACGCAGTAAATAACCCACCACAGAAACTGGGTGGCATAGCAAGCTACGGAGGGCTTCCCACAGCTGCGCCTGCTTCAGAGGAAATCAAAACTATGAGTTTAAAACACAGAAAAAACTCAGACAATTTTTTCTTGTCTGAAATGAAAAGATGATCTCACAGTACAAAAGTTCCTGGCCTTCCTGTCTGCCTCCTCTATGCCCCAAGTACACCACTGTCCTACTAGTAATATTTTTCGGTGAGGACTTGAATAGGACAGTCTACCCTGGGCCTTAAGACTGTGATGAGGCCTTTACTTTTTTAAGAGATGGGGGTCTCACTGTGATGTCCCAGCTGGCCTCAAACTCCAGGGCTAGAGCACTCCTTCTATGCCAGCCTCTTGAGTTGCAGAACTACAGGCTCACTCCATGGTGCCCAACAAGGAGCCTCTTCAGAAAAGCATGATCCTTTGTACCATCCTGGGCTTGAGAATGAAATCAGCTGAATAAATGCATATGCCAGCCACAGATGCTTTTTTTTTTTTTTTTTCAAATGGGAATCTTCTCTGAAAGTAAAGAGCCTTAGTAAACATAAATAAGAACAGTAAAAATGGCAATAAAAACAATAGCAATAGGATTGACTATGGAAGGGGGAGACTTGCTCACTTAATCCTTATATTAACGGAAGAAAAGACGATTGAAACAGAAGAAACAACTGTCAATGGCCTCTAAGGGAAGGGGGAAGGCATTTGGTGGAGGGACTACTGTTTTAGTGAGGCACCACAAGTTTATAAACAAAGACTGACGTGCTCTGAATAATATCACAAGCTCTGGAAGTGCCAGGGCCACCCAGAAGGGAGAGGAACTGCGGACCCAACTGAGAGGGCTGGTGACGCAGCTAAAGAACAGTCCCACCCCTCCCTTCTACCACAGGAGAGCTGCAAGGGTATTTAAGTCACGGGAGCTGTGTGATGTGTGACTCAACTACTTCCTGTAACCCCAAATCTTTAGCATGATCACTATAAGGAGGGGAGCTTCTTTGAGGAGCATGAGGTGGAAGGTAAGTTTCATATGCAGTCAATCCATTGTGTGCAAGGCAGTTACACAGAAGCAGAACTGCAGGCACATGGTGGTACCAGCCTCCTAGGAATCATGCAAAGCCTAGATCAGGCTCTAGATTCCCACAAGATGTGGAAGAAGCTTAAAGGAAGCTCATCCAGCCTTGAAGGGCTGGGAAAGCCCAACAACTCAGCAGAAATCTGACTAAGGATCATTATCCTCACTCTGCAGATGAGGACACCCTGACTCACCCAAAGTCACACAGCTAGTGAGCAGGGGGATCCATGTTCACTGACAGACCACCACACCACGCAGCCACCCAGCCAGCACCAGCTAGGTCTTCTGAGCTAAATAAGAGGCAAAGACCTTAAATCACAGCTGGAGCATAAACAGGTAGCAGGCACAGAGAACGAAGTACTGTGTGTATGAGTGAGTTAGGGCTGAGGCTTTAAAAAATGTTAAGGAGACTAGGAAAGGTATTGTAAATCACCAACTGGAGTAAGATCAAGGACAAGGGAAGGGCTCGGCCATGAGGGCAGATGGCATAATGGTAATGGTTGAGAGTGAGCTCTTGGCACAGTCCTGTTCACTCGCAGCAGGACCTATGTTAACCCTGTGGCGTTTGGGGGTCAGGTGTTACCACTTAACAATATATATGAAGAGTTTGTAGTATGAAGTATGAAGAGTCTCGTAGAGCAGCTGCAGCCTCCCACTCCTGAGGGAAGTGAGAGGGCAGACACAGGAGAAGCTCTTGTGGACTGCTGTGCAACCACAGGAAGCAGGAGAGGGTCAGGAGATGAGGAGACCCTGTCTCCCCAAGGCAGGGGATTTGAGGAGGCAATGGCAAATAGCCTTGATGGTAATCTTAAGCAAAATTCCCCAAAGGAAAACAAAAAAGGTTAGACTATGGCCGTGACGAAAGACAGTACAAATGAATATGAAAACCATAAACTACTTTGAACCAGTAGTTCACGCTGTGTTCCTCTCAAAGATGTAAAATATCCTTTGGCAACCAACAGTGTCCGTGTCTGTGAACTGTGCATGTACGGAGTAGACTTCAGATTATGCATATGGGAACTCGAAGGCCAACGGACGAGTTCAGGGAAGCACAGGTTCAGGATGGGGAGCCACATTTCATATCAGACACCACCAAACCAGAGGCAGCCCAGGAGATGAGGAGCTGGAGGCTACTTCAAGCAAGCAATCGCCAAGAAACAATCGCTATACTTGGAAAACAGAAGACTCAGAAGGGAAGTCAGAGTTGTTTGTGAACTTCAGGAGACAGTCCTCAGGCTAGAGATAACCATATTTAAGGGCTTGCTGTTCAGGGACCAATGTAGAAGTTACAGAGAATGAGATCAACTTAAAATGAAGTACGCTCTGTCTTTGGAAGAGTACAGCCATAGACAGCCTGCTTTGCAAAATTGTGTGTTTCTTTCTTTCTTTTTAATTTTATTGGTACATTTTAGGTATACGATATAATGACATTCATCATTGGAAATTTGTACCTTTACATAATATATCTTGGTTCTTATTTTTTCCCCATTCTCCCGTCCTCCCTTCAACTCCACCACCCCTCCCTATCTACAAAGACTTTGTTTCCATTTTCCATTTTATCTCATAGTAATTCCATTCCCTTTCCTTTCCCCTAGCCCTTTCTCTTCCCCTTTGCACCTTTTCTTCCTATTTCACATTACCTATTTTGATCCTTATTTACTCCTTTAGTTTCTCACACCAGAGAAACTATTTGGTATTTACGTGTATGTCCTATTTATTTCACTTAAGAGTATTGCCTCAATGTGCATCCATTTAGCTATAAATATCTCCAATTTCTCATTCTTTATGGCTGAGTAGTACTCCATTTAGTGAAAAAAAAAAAAAACCCAAACCCACAGTTTCTTTATCTAGTCTCCAACTGATGGGCAACTGGGCTGTTTCCAAGTTTTAGCTATTACAAACTGTGCTGCTATAAACATGGGTGCACATATATCACTGTGGTATGATTCTTTAATTCTTTTGGAAAGATACCCAACAGGGTCAAATGGGACTTCCAATCCTAGTTGTTTGAGGTATCTCCATCCACATTTTCACAGTGGTTGCACTAGTCTATACTCCCACCAAAAGTGGAGAAGGGTTCTTCTTTCCCCACAGCCCCACCAGCATTTGTTACTGGTTAATTTCTTGATAGCAGCCATTCTTTCTGGTGTGAGGTGGAATCACAGCATTGTTTTCATCTGCATCTCTCGGATGACCAGTGATGTTGAACATTTTTTCATACATTTATCTGCTATTTCTACTTCTTTGTCTGAGAAATGTCTGTTCATTTCAGATGCCCATTTTTGGACTGGATCTTTAAATTTGGGAGGTTTGATTTTTTTAAAAAGTTCTTTATATATTCTAGACAGTAGACCTTTGTCTGAGGAACAACAGCCGGTGAAAATTTTTTCTCACATTGCGGCTTGTCTCTTCACATTGTTGGTGGTTTCTCTTGATGTGCAGAAGCTTTTTCATAAGAAGAGATCCCACTTGTTGATTGTTTGCGGTAGTTCATGTGCAACTGAGGTTTTGTTCATGAAATCTTTTTTCTATGCCAATGTCTTCAAGATTTCTACCTAACCTCTCTTCCAGCTGGTTTAGTGTTTCTGTTTTAATATTTAGATCTTTAATCCTTTTTGGTTTTAGTTTAGTGCATGCTGACAGATATAGGTCTAGTTTTAACCTTTGGCAAGCTGAAACTCAATTTTTCCAGCACCATTTATTAATTTCCTCCAGTGAGGGTGTTTGGCTCCTTTGTCAAAGATGAGGTGGCTGGCTGTGTCTAGAGGTGTTTCTGTATCTTCTAGTCTGATTCACTGGTCCTTGGGTCTGTTTCTTTGCCAGTACCATGCTGTTTTTTTTTTTTTTTAAATCACAGTAGCTTTGTAGTACAGTTTCGAGTTGGGGATTGTGATACCCCCCATCTTGTCTTTATTGCCTAGAACTGATTTTGCTATTCTAGGTCTCCTCTTGTTCCAAATGAATTTTTGGATTGTTTTCTCAAGGTTTGTGAAGTATGCTGCTGGAATTTCAATTGGGACTGCATTGAATCTATATAGCAGTTTTGGAAGTATAGCCATTTTCATGATACTGGTTCTCCCTACCCAAGAGAAAGGGATGCCTTTCCACTTTTTGATATCCTCTTCAATCTCTTTTTTTCAGAGTACTATAGTTTTCAGAGTAGAGGTCTTTGATTTCTCTCATTATGTTGATTCCTAGATATTTCATTTTTTTTGGATTCTGTTGTGAAAGGGATTGTTTCTCCAGTTCCTCTTTTAGTGAGTCTGTTGCTTGTGTACAGGCAAGCTATTGATTTTTGTGTGTTGACCTTGTATCCAGCTACTGAATTTGGTTATTAAGCTAGAAGACTTAATGGACTTCTTGGGGTCTTCCATATATAGTATCATGTCATCTGCAAATAATGACAATTTAACTTCTTTGTTTCCTATCTTTATTCCTTTTGTCTAATTGTTATGGCTAATGTTTGCAAAACTATATTGAACAGGAGTGGTGATAGTGGACATCCTTGTCTTGTGCCTGATTTTATTGTGAAGCATTTCACTTTTTGACCATTTAGTATGATACTGGCTGTCTGTTTTTCATTAAAGGCTTTTATCAGGTTGAGATAGAGATCTATTCCAATTTTTTGTAGGGTTTTTTTTATCATGAATGCATGTTGGGTTTTATTAAATGCTTTTTCTGCATCTATTGATTTGTTTTTTTGAGACAGGGTCTCACTATGGAGTTGAGACTGGCCTAGAACTCACTATGTAGCCCAGGCTGGTCTCGAACTTGCAGAGATCCTCCTGCCTCAGTCTCCCAAGTGCTGGGATTACAGGCATGTGCCACCACGCCTGGCCTATTTCTGCATCTATTGAGATGATCATATGATTCTTGTCCTTGGCTCTATTAATATAGTGCATTATATTTATTGATTTGCATATGTTGAACCATCCCTGCATCTCTGGGATGAATCCCAGCTGTGTGTTCTCATCTGAGGCAGGGCCAGGGGAGTGGTATGTGGGGTGGCTCCCTCAAGGAGGCACTCCAGTAAGCAATTACCCTTAGGACCCTCATTCCTGAGTGTGCTCAATGCAGTAAAAATGTAAACAGCTGCATTATCTGTATATGACTGCATAAGAAGAATGAATAGCAACTCTAAGAATAAAATCACAGTCATAATAGTGTTAGAAAGTAGTGAGAGATTAAGTACCTATGAAAAGTGAGATTTAATTTACAAAAATAGGATTTATGCTCTTTTAAAAAACTATGTCTATTTTGGGGGAAAAAAGAGAGAGAGAGAAAAAAAGCGGACAGGCAAGAAAAGGCACTGGTAGGCTCTCGGGAGCCTCTTCTGAGGCACAGAGAGGTCACGGCAGCCATCAGGCAGTGCTAGAGTGCCTGCTGCTCACCAGGGACAGGAATAATACTTTCTGCACCCTCTGGACACTCTTGCCATGGCAGTTAACCCTTCCCAAGTTTTTCTTATACCCTGGGGATTGGCGCAACACTTTCCTGGTCTTGTTCCTTCCCTGGATTCTTACTCCTCTCCACTTAGCAGCCTTCCCAGTGAACGTATCCCGTGAGCCCAGCCCTCCCCCGCGGTCTGATTCCCTCCTTCGTGTTGGTAAGTGCAGGCAGAAGATCTGGGAGCTGCCCACACGCAGTCTCCCTCCAGTCCCAGCTTTTCTCCTAGGCTCTAGAGCCACCAGGAACCACAGCTACCTCACATCCCACCCACTCAAAGCTGAACTCACCGCCATGTCCAGGACCAGCACGTTTCTATTTCTTTTTCAGTGACAGTGCTCCCAACTCCAGGCAATAATCCAGAAATTACCTCCATTCCCCCTTCCTGGCTCTCTGAATGTCAGTCTCCCAAGGTGTTAGGTGCTAGCTTCTTAAATGCCTTTTGGCTTGATCACTATTCTAGTATATGTGCTGCCAAGGTGAGCACAGCTTGATCGCTATTCGATTCCAACAGCCTCTCCCTAGCGCAGACCAGCTGGCTTTAATGGCTTCTGCTTCTAGCCAGTCTTCTATACTGAGGCCAGAATTATCTTTCTGAGTTGGATGTGTTAGTTCATTCTTATAATCCCACCTACTTGAGAGACCAAAGTCAGCCTGGGCAACTTATTGAGACATTCACACACAAAAAAAGGGGGCTAATGTATAGAATTTGTTTAGCAAGTGTAAGGCTCTGGGTTTAAGTCTTAGTACTGAGGGGAAAAAAAAAAAAAAAAAAAAAAAAAAAAAAAAAAAAAAAAAAAGAATACAGCTCTAACCAGGAGCCTCCTATGCTTAATCTGGTGATAGCTTTTGGCTAAAATCGAAGCTGCTAGCCTTGGTTTCTAAGGCCTTCTTGTTCTAGTTCCTACAAACGGCCTCAGCTCCATCTGACTCCCTCCTGTGTAATCTCTCCAACCACACTGTCTGCCTCCCTTCTCTCTCAGCCTTGGCCTTTAAGTCGTATGCACTTTCGCTTGTGGTGCTCTCTCCGGACCTGTTTCCCTCTGAACCCATGGCACACGTCCCACTGCACCTGAACTGCTGGTTGCCACTGCCTTCTCCATCTCTGCAGCCCTAGCCCCCAATACAGCCTTCCAGGGCAAGACATCACCACTGTATTTGTAAAGTAAGTGATGTCATACATTCATTTCTAGCTGCATTCACAAGGATGAGAGGTCAAGAACCATGAGAAGCAGAACAACACATTAGGAGCCCAGCCCTGAGTGCCACTCACGTTTTTGTGAGGAATGACATGAGGGATGTACTGTAGGATCAATTGGGCACGTTTCCGGTCCTTGTCAAGTTCTTGGAAGAGCACACTAGGTTTGAGATCCCTTAAAAAGAAAGATATGGGTTACAGATTATTAAAACAGAAAAACCACCGGAGGGGGCCAAATCTTGCCTTTGCAAAATTTTACAGGAACCCAGCGATACCTGCTCATTCGCACACACACTGCCCACAGCTGTCGTCATGCTGCAACAGCAGAGGGAGCAGCTGCGACACAGAGTGTCCACAGCACCCAAGACCATCGGGCCAAAGTGTTTTGGCCCTTCTCTGGTGCCAGAGCTTCAGAGCTGACAAGTCACTGACAGCAATGATGACACATCTTTATTTCGAGGGCAGAGGGGTATAGGCAATTGAATCCAGGGCCTTTGCACTGAGCTTTTCTCTTTTTTTTTAATTAAAATTTTGAGACAGGGTCTCAGGAAGCTAAGTTGCTTGAACTTGTGGTCTTCAGAGTGATGGGATATAGGCATGCACCAGTAAGCCCAGCCTGACATGCTCTTAAGTTGGTTTATGCACCGTAACCCCCCACAACAACAACAACAACAACAACAACAACAACAACAACAACCCCTGAAAGCAGTTTTGATCCTAGTCATTCTGCTGATAAACTGCCATGTAGCTGTTACACCCATGACTTGGGTCAACTCAGACCTTCTCTTCTGAGTCTGGATAAGAAATAGCTATAGAGAGTGATCCGGCTTTGTTGCCCTTAATCAACTCTAATCATACTCGTGTAATAGAAGAGTGCTACATGATGCACTCTTACAGTTGTGTCATAGCAAAGCAGCTCTTTCTGCAGGTGGATGGACAGGGTGGAGGAGGAAAGGCCCTCCTCCAAAGGCCAGGACAGAGGCCCCAGCTGCCACGAGCCTCTCCCTACCCAGTGCTTACTTTCTCAGCCAGTGGTCCTCAGGAGCAAAGCGCCTCCTGCAGTCCCGCTCATACAGTACCATCAGCCACCCATGGACAGACTGGAACAGCTCCAAAGTCTCACCCTTGGCATTCTCTATGGAGGAAACAAACAGGGGAGTCACACCTGTGGGAGGGAGGACAGGCCTTGTCTCCTGAGACCCTCAGCAAGTGTAACTCTCTTGCTTTGAAATGTCCATGGAACTCAAGGGATTTAAAGGCCCTATGGGAATGTCCCAAATGTCTACAGGGCCTGGCATCTGTTAGACAATTACTCACACTGCCCTCTACCATACACCACCCAAAGGAGCTTTTACTCTAAGGAGCTCAGTACTGAACAACTGGAAACACTTCAGGAGGTGGACTCTCATCTGGCACACATTTTATTCTCATGGAAATCAACATCAGTAATCAAAAGGACAGCCAGGGTAAAGGGAATCATCATTAATAATCTTTGACACAAACATGCAAATCCTGAAGGATGCCGGGGAGAGTGAGATATGAGACTACTGCAGAAACACTACTGTCGTAAAGAGGTCAGAGGGAGCACAGAATTAAAACTTCCAGTCATATGAATAAATGTACATTTTCTACTAACTTGTAGACAATAAAGCTAAGAACCAGTGGATTTAGCCTCCCTGGGTTCAGCATCAATGAAACAATGGAGGATACCTTTACCTTACCTACAATTCCATCCCAGATCATCTTGAACACAAAGGAATTCAGAAAGGAGGATATGGTGACCAGCTCTTCCAGTTTGAATGAAATTTGTTCTTCATAAACTTCAATGTCATCAAGGATCCTAGGTCAGAAAGTTATTCAGAATTTCTCATTGAGAGAAGGAAAATAATATGCAATCTTACTGTTTCTTAGGGGAAACAAATAATGTTAAGAAGTAAGCTCTACTTTTAGATACTTCAGGTAAAATATAATGCCTGAGATTTGCTTCAGAGAAGTCTGAGAAAGGAGAGCAAAACTGCTGAGCTGGAGATGGCACACAAAGGTTCCTTATTTTATTTGAAATTATCTGTAGTAAAATATTTTTACAGATTAAGGAAGAAAAAAAAAGCTCCATGCTTGTATTTTTCTTACTCATGAAGATCCGTGACACCTTAGTTTATGTTTGGATTCACGCCTCACTGGTGCCTGAATGTGAAGGGCTCTCGACTGAGTCCATGCTTACTGAAAAAGTAGTGGAGCCTTAGTCCACATCTGGGACAGACACTGTGGCACCTGATAGGTATTTATGAATGAATGAAGAGATGTGTCAAAGATATGAATCAATGAACAGGTAAGACACACTCTACCTGAAAATTTACTAAAATCACTCAATACACTTTGGAATTTGACTCACCCTCGGGTTACCTTTGACTAAGCAACTAGTGGTGTATTCCAGACTCTGCTCTTGCCTCCACCTGCTCACTGAGCCCCTTCTTCCTCCACGATGTTTACCCAACCTGCCACTCACTCATCCCTGATCCCTTCCTGCTAAGGTCTTGGAGCCTACATGTAATTGACTGTGCATTCTCTTACAATTCTTTATGAACCTTCTGGGAAGAGGTGGACTTAATGCCAAATATATAAGTAAACATTTAAGTTTAAGAAGCAAACCATTTGTTAACTTCCTACCCTGTGCCAGACACTTTACTAAGTAGCTGACATTCCTTTTCTCACTTAGTATTTATCACATCTGTAATATTACCTCCATTCTACTAACAAGCAAACTGAGGCTCAAGAGAGGTTAAGCAACTTGCCCAGGGTCAGCCTGATAATAACAATAACAGCCAACACACAAAGAACCCTTCCTGTGTGCCAGGGCTGTGCTGAACACTTGGTACTAATGATCCCTTCTCATCTTTACCACATACCTAAAAGGTGAGTGTTGTTGTCATTCCCAATTATACATGAGGAAACAGTTCAGAGCACACAGGTGGAATCCTTTGATCTTTTGCCCAGGGTACCACAGTAAATGGCTGAGCCAGGTTTTGGACCCTGGCTCTCTGACCCTCAAATTTTCCAGTGATTTACTCAGCACCGTAAATCAATGGCTGAGCTATGATTCGAACCCATTTCCAGGAGACCCCAAAGCCCACACTCACCGGTACTGACCTAGCTGTTCTGAAAGACTGGGAACCATTCCTGAACACCTAGTACACGCTGCTTGCCTTGTATTGATTATTGTCATTAATTAACTAATTCATTAACTTTTTCTTTCTTTTTGCTTTTGAGACAGATTTTCACCATTTTGCTCAGACTGGTCTGGAACTCATGAGGTCAAGCGATCCTATCTCATCCTCCCAAGTAGCTGGACTATAGGCATGTGCCACTCAGCCTGCTCCTGTCCACTTCTCCTAATGACCCTGCCACATACATCCTAATATATTCAGTAATTGTCAGCTGTTACTTGCTTCTTGACACTGCAGTTTGATCTCTGTGAATTCTAGGAAAGGTACTCAGCCCCACAGCAGTCAACCTACGTGATGAGGTGCCGGGAACAGTCACAGAACAGCATCAGCATGGCCAAGAGCTGCTTGGACTCCTCAGTGTCATTGTTCAGGCATTCCAAGAAGAGCTTTAACCCTCCGTGGGGCCCCAGCTCACAGATAAAAGCCCATAGTTTGGGCAGCAGGTCATCAAGGTAAGTGAGACCTGGAAAAGGATAGAGAAACCCAAGCTTCAGGTGGGGACTCCATCTCATCTGTTAATTCTCCTTTTCATGGGGAAAACAAAACATTTAAATCCATTAGTGATCATTTAATGTGCATGAGAAGGTGCAATTAGCAAAAACATTATCACCCTGAGAATCACAATGATAACAACATCTAACGCTTAATAGGTGCTTAGTGTCAGACACCAGTTTAAACATTTGGCAGACACTGTCTCCTTCCTGCTTGTGAAACCCAGTGTCCTTCCATTGTCCCTGCCCCCCCAACTGGGAACTGAACCTGGGGTCTTTTAAAATGTTTTATTTTGAAACAGGGGCCAAGTTGGCCAGGCTGGCCTTGAACTTGCGGTCCTCTGGTGCCAGCCTCCAGAGTAGCTGGGATTACAGGTGTGCAGCATGGTGCCCAGCGCAGTGTTGCCTCCATTTTATAAGGGACAAAACTGAAGCACAGAGAAGCTTAATAATTTTCCCAAGACCACACAGCCAGACACACAATGTCAGAGCCAGGAAAAGAACCCAGACCGGTGTGAGTTAGTAATTATGCTTTGACAGGGGTCAGCAAGCTTTTCTAGAAAGTGCTAGGCTTTGTGGGCCAGATGGTTTCTGTTGTTAAAATAAAAAATTGAAAGAAACTGAATTTAGCAGAGTTTAACTAAACAAGGGATGGCTGACATACGGTGCAGTCCTCAGGATCAGAAAAGGTTCAGAGTTGTTATGAACATGTGCAGACAGTGTTTATCACAGCTCAGCGCTTTCCTTATTTGAAAACGCTCTAGTAAGCAGGCTGCCTGTGGCTAACTGAAAACTGCTGCTATGACTGGCTTAGACTCAGCTATTTGTTACAAAAGTATTCCCCTAAATTAGGCTTTCAGTTAGTTTACATACTTAGGGTTTGAATGGGATGAGGTGGCTGACTGGGTAAATAGGGTTTGGTTCAGGCTCATTAGGAAGGACTCAGAGTATGGAGGCATCTTCAAACCCAGTTTAGGTTAGCACTGCCACAACTGCTCAGTGCTGTTACTGTGCATAAAAGCAGCTTCTAGACGTGACGTAAACAAATGGATTCAGTTGTGTTCTAGTGAAAGTTCATTTACAGAAATAGGAAGTAGGGGCTGGGGATATAGCTCAGGGGTGCCGCCGCCTGCCTTGCAAGCACAAGGACTCAAGTTCAATCCACAGTACTCCCCGCAAAAAGAAAAAGACATAGGAAGTGGGATAGCTTTGGCTCAAGGCCTGACCTCTGCCTTAAACCATCTTGCAGGCCCATCTTCATTTAGCAGTTTTCCTGTTAACTACTATTATTCTGTGTTAGAAATGAGAAAGACTAGCCCCGGGGAAGCAGAAGGTCAAGCAGAGGACATTCTAAGTCAGCTTCCTGATGGCTACAAGGTCTCGGGAACGTGAGGTACATCTCTGGCATATTTAAAGTCTAATAATGCAGGTACGTAGTGACTCAGAAAGTCTGGATCTGAAACGCCGTGTGCTGCTGAACATACGGTAGGGAATGTTTCTCAGAAAAGCAGTCACTTTTATATGAGCCTTCTCATTGTATAGAGCACACTGAATTACTTAATTGTGAAAGAAGTGCTCAAGCCCAAGCCTATACTGGCTCCCCTTATTTTCAGTTTCCCAAGGTGTTCATCATTTTAGGCAATCTACTCTTTAGTACACACTGGTGTCACCCCACTCCTAGACTATAATCCTGTTGGGGGCAGAGATCCTGACTTAGCTTGTTCACCTCTGAATCCTAAGTGCTTTGCAAGCACAGGTACTTATAAGTAGTTGAAGAATAAATAAATAAGTGTGAAAGGCAGAAGCAGCAGTAATTCAGGATATTTAAAAATGTACAATGCAGAAGTTCTTAATCCTTTACATAGTGACTGGCTTTCACAGTTTTCAAAGACCTTTTGTACTCATAATACCAATTCATACCTATGTCTCCTGCACTGCAATTTAAAATCCCTCAGTGTCCAGTTCTGTGCTCACAGGAGGGATTTTCTTCCTTGCTCAGCTAAAAAGCAAACTGTTCAGCTTATTTATGTGATGAGATACCATGCAGCCAATAAAAATGAGGTTTCTGAAGAACTGTTGATGTGATACAACACTTATAAAGTGGTCAATGGAAAAGGAAGAACACAATGGTGTGCGTCAGATTAAATATATCTTCCGTGTGCAATGCACCCAGGAATGGGTGTGGGTTGTGGGATTAAGAGTGGTGTTTTGTTTTGGCTCCCTATCTTTTCTAGTTTTCTACTCAGAGAGAATAACTTTTTAAAAGTTGAACTTCATACATAAAATCAGAGCCAGGTAAGGAACAAATCAGAAGTGCTCTAATGAGGTTGGCTTGAGCTACTTAGAGGAAACTGTACCAATCTCTTAAAAAGAACAGCTCAGAAAAGGACCAAAGGTGTAGGGACAGTGAGAAGGACAGGGAAGGGGGAATAAGGGAAAAGGAAAAAAATGAGAAAATGTAAAAATGGAATTAAAGTGTTTGAAGGGGGAAAGGGGAGGGGAGGGTGAAGGGAGGGCGGGGACAAGGGGAAAAATGAGAACCAAGACCTGGCATGTGAAGGTACAAGATCCCAATAGTGAATGTAACTGTACTGTCTACCTAGAATGTACCAATAAATTAAATTAAAAAAAGAAAAAGAATAGCTCAAAAACTGCCCTCCTTCAAAATCAACACTCTAGGTCAAGGAAATCAGAAGAAAATAAAAGGTCAACTTTTGCTAAGAAAAACGGTCTGCCAAATTTGAAACACGGGCACAGCAGCTGAGGGATGGCAAACCTGTGAGAATCTGCAGGCGGATCTGGGTCAGAGTCGTCAGTGAGGTCTGGTAGAGGACACAAATGCTGCAAACCTTCTGGACCTCTGCAGAGTCCACTCGCTTGCCCCCCACAGGCCTGAGGATATTCCGGACGGAAGCAGACTTCTGAAATGCTCGCCTGAGGAGACCTGGTATGGGGGAAAGAAGAAACGAAAGCAGAAGTTCAGCCACCTGCCAGATCTCATCAGGTCAAGGGAAGAACATTTCAACAGAAGTCCACATTCACAGACAGGGCCAGCCCGTGGGGCTGCTGCTTGGACTCAAGATATTTCTCTGGGGGCTGGATGTGGTAGTCCATTCCTATAATCCAAGCACTCAGGAGGCTGACACAGGAGGGTCACCATGAGTTTGAGGCCAGCCTGGGCTACACAGTGAGTTCAGGCCTAACTACCTGGCAAGACCCTGTCTCAAAACCCTGCCCCTAAAATTTTAATACTAAACTCCCCAGGGTTTGTTTTTTTTTTTGGGTACTGGGGATGGTATCCAGGGTTTTCACATTGAACTATGTCCCCAGCCCTTTTTTTCTTTTTTGAGACAGTCTCATTTTATGATTAAGAACTTAGCAAAGTACCATATCACCTAAGAAACAGGTCTTTTCCTTTCTGGTAACGGGAAAGGGTCCACATAATCCTTTTCATTTTGGCTACTACAAACCTCATGGCCAAGCTAAAGTTCAGAGACAGTCATGTGGCCCTCATGGAATAGGCTTTGGTGGATATTCTATGTACACGATCACTGATTTATATCTCCCTGGCCTTACTGTTTTGTTAAGTGAGGACTTAATTTAAGCAGCCTCAAGTCTCTGTGAGAGAAGTCAGAGCATGGCAGAGAGTGGAACATCCACACAGAAGAGTCAGGAGCTGCCCTTGGGCCCAGCAGAGGCCTGGCAGACTGGCTCGGCCACTCACTCTTCACTGGAAGCACATTCTGTGGGGATGCCGGCTGCGCAGGGGCTGGCTCCTGGTGTTCCAGCAGCTTCTTACTGAGGATGTCACTGAAGAAGGTTCGGATGAGAGACACTCCCCACAGGAACTGCAGCTGTTTGGTGATCAAGTACATTGACTCGTTGAGGCTGGGAGAGAGCAGGAGACGGGTGTGTCAGCTCCACCACTGCCTGAGTAGGTACGGTCTGTCTACTCCACTCCCAGTGGGCCTTCCACTTGGAGGTGTAGCTCAGGCCTGGCACTTGGTACAGCAGAGAAGATAGTAAGAAAAATAAGAAATGGAAGCAATACATTGACACTGAGGGCTGAGGATACTGAAGGCATTGAATCTTTATCGCTGCACTCAGCTTCCTGAGCTGCCATGAGTGTCACTGCCCCCAGATCCACAAGCTCCATGTCACAGACATGTTGGGGATAGCCAGCCTCCTATCGCTGGGTGGACAAAAGCCTTCTCATGCTGGCTGTGCTGTCCTCTGCTGGGTCTTCAGCTGTGGCACCACATCTAGCCGACTCAATGCCTCCTCACATTTCCTTACTTCCGGGCAGTGTCCTCTCTCCAACTAGGCTGTACCCCAGCACCACCCTTGTTCCTGGAACCTAGGGACTTCCCTCCCCTGCTGAGATCCCAAACCGGCTCCCATCACACTGTTGTGATGGTGACAGCTTCCACCTACAGAGCACACACTAGGCCCAGTAGCAGGCCCTTTGCATGGTCTTGTTCAATTCTTCCAAAGGTGCTCTGGTGATTACCTCCCATTTCAGATGATAAAGCTGGGGTAAAGCAAGTTTTCCAAAGGCACTCAAGGAAAAGGCAGGGAGCTAAGACCCTACTGTCTGTGAAGGGGCTATGTTATCCCATCCGGCTCCCAGTGCCCCTTCTGACCCCAAGCACACATCATGGGTGGGGACATCATGCTGGGTGGGCTGTCCTAGGCACTGAGTCTTTTTAAATAGATAGGACTCAATGATACCACTTAGGTACAAGAAAAAGGGAACAAATCTAGGGACTTCCTTCCCTGACCTCCAGGGCCTGCCAGGGACCCCATGCCCTAGCAGACATTGGGTGGGAAAAGAGCTGGATGTTAGTGACCTTAGTTTCATCTCACCTCATGTTTATGTTGCTGCCCTAGTTGATCTATAGTCTTCCATGCTAGTGTTTCTAACGTAAAGTTTATATTCCACTTCTTGAAAAGGACCTGGGGTAACTTCTATCCCTTTGAATTATTTGTCTTGTTGCAATATCTCTGAAACAGGGTAGTCTAACCAGTCAATGAAAGGGCTACTGAAGAAAAATATTGCTAGATGAGGCTTATAACTTAGCAATGAAAAAACAAAATCTTAGCTCATTTTTGTAAAAAACTATTAACATATGAAAAAAAATGGAAGGATGGTTTTTATTGTCTTTTGGGTCTATCCCTACTTTGTACAATGAAGACACACTATTTCTGCTTTAAGAAACAAAACAACAGAAGCTAGAAGAAAGGAAGAAAAGGAAGTGGTAGGGAGAGAGAAAGGATGGCAGCAGTGCTTACCCATAATCCACAGACTGGGAGAACCAGCCGAGGACAGGGTGCCAGTGGGTCAGGTTGGATTTCTTCTGGGACACGTACTTCTGACAGTAGCACAGCATCCGGGTGAGCAAGCTCACAAACCCATCTGTCTCCTCCTCTAACACTTGGGGGCTGAGGGAGCCCAACTGTAGAATGTTGCCTGCAAAGAGAGGAGGCTGAGCCCTGCTCTCTGTGGCTCAGGCAGCCACAGTGTATGTGCAGGAGGAGAGTCGGTGTGAGAGGCACCCGACAGTCCTGGAGACCACAGCAGGGTGCAGGAGTAGAAAGAGGCTGACCTAACTCCAGATCCTGGCTCTGCTGTTGAGCTACATGGCTCTCAACCCACCTCTTGGATTTGTCTCCTTATCTGCAAGACCGGAATAATGATTCCCACTCTCCACGAGCATTATATAAACAACACACGTAAAATGTGAGGTACACAAAGGTATGTGATATTTCCTTAGTGCGACACGTTAGTTCATATTAGTATTTAAAGATCAAGAGTGACGTGAGAAATGACAATAACTTAAGAAATCACTCTTCAGCGCTCACCGAAGTTCTCTACTATTCCTTGGGTGAAGACTCTTGCCAGATACTCTCCTTACAATTTAGCCACAAGACTCTTTGTCCATCTGAATTTCTTCTCATTAGACAGTGAGAATTTATATATCGCTACTTTCTAAATACTTCTACCCACAAACCTTCCTCTGTCAACAATGGTAACATTGAGACAGGTGAAGCAGGTGCTGCTCTGAGCTAAGTCCCACCAAAGTGCCCTTCCAGTCTTCTCTTGAAACGTGAATCATCCAGGCAACTCATGTTTTCATTTTTTCCTTGGCTCCCAGAAAAACGGAAGGAAATTAACGTCCGCCTACAGTTACTTGTCTAGCTTCCCAGGTTCAGCTCCACATAAGTTTTAATTTTACATGTCTATTTCCACTGTTTTGAGTAGGTGTTTTTTACGGCAAGCACTTCAAGTTGTTACTAAAAACTGATAATCTCTATGCAGGTGAAAAGCGAAAGATCTGGGCTTCCTCGGCTGGCCAGAATCAGATTCCAACCGCTGATACTCACCCATCAGACAGAGCGTATGGCAGCCTTCTAAATTTTCACATATGTCATGGCATCGATCTGCATCTCTTAAAAACAGGATGAATTTACGAAGCGTGTCATGAGATTCTAAAACAGTGAGACGCTGCAAACAATGGGGAACAAGGTGGAAATGACAAGAGCAGTTTCCCACTAGGGCATGAACTTGATTGTTTACAGATCACCCCTAGTTATGTGGCACATGCCATCAGGCACCAAGGAGAAAAAGTACAAAACATGAGAACCTGCTTCTTGGCGCTGCTGACGTAAGCATTGCCCACAGTGGCTACCGGCTTAGAAGAAAAGCAGGTAAAGGAGTGAGAGTGAGCAGAGAAATCATTTTATCTTTTAAATTCCAAGGAGAAAAAAACTAAAAACCAAATTGGAATTTTGGGAAACTCGCCACGTCCACTTACCTCAGGGGTCACTGTACTGAGATGAGTCACGAGAGCAGGCACAGACAGGATGTGGATGAGAAATGGCCGAATCAGATTGTCTGAAAACTGTGCAGCAATCACAGGGCTAGACACAGACAGATCCGCTTATTCAGAGAGGTACATGTGTTCCACCCAGAACTAAAGGGTGATCCTGACAAAGCCCCCTACCGCCTAGAAGTTATGCTTCCCAGGACTTCTAGGAAAATGAAAGGCTGAAAATGGGGACGTACATCAGGGAATGGTTAAGTCCGAGACAGTAAAACTCACATAATGCAAGACTTTAGTTACGAAAAATCAGTTTTGGCTGTGTGGGGTGCTACATGCCTGTGATCCCAGCACTTTGGGAGGCTGAGGCAGGAGGATCACAACTTCAAGCCATAACTAGGCAATCTAAGAACTTAAGGAGACCCTGTCTTGGAATACATAAAGAAGGGCTGGTGGTGTAGCACAAAGCACAGGTCCTAGGTTCAATCCCAAGTACCATACACATACCCTGCCCAAGGAAAGAAAGAAAAATCAGTTTTTAAGCTTTACCAACACAAGGAAATGCTTATGCTGTAATAAACTAAAACAAGTAAACAAAGTAAAACAAAGTAAGACAAGTAAAACACACAAATAAACAAAGACATAAACAGGAGTGAAAAAGGATTCTGGAGGAGCCTTATTACAGTTGAATTTTCAACTGAATGGTGCTTACCAAAATGTCCACTTGGTAATAACTCATCAATAATTCATACTCAAATTAAGCAGTTTATTTCAAAATATACATAGCGTGATATTAACATTTACAAATATATAAACATGAAAAAAAATTGGAAAGGTAGATTAAAAAAGCTAATGTGTCTCTGGTTGTAAAAATCCTAAGAAATTTTTTTCTTCTTTATGTTTTTGTGCTTTTTGTAGGTTTTCTGCAGTAAGCATGTTATTGCTTCCACAATCAGAAAGATAAATATTAAAGTTATTATCCCATCTCACAGTACATATCACAATTAACTTAAAATGGATCACAAATCTAAATGCTACTTTTATAGCTATAAAATTCCTTCCCCCCTTTATGGTGTGTGCTTAGATGTTTCTTCAAGGCTTCACACAGTCTAGGTGGGGCCTTTTCAGAGGTGGCTGGATCTAGGGTATGTGACGCTGGAACTAATTCATGGTGCAGTACTAGGCTCAAGGGCATTAGGATTAATGTTATGAGGACTAAGTATCTACCCTCAGTAGTCTGGATAAGATAAAAGGGGCAGAAAGACACTGTTAAGGTCCCTTGCCCTTTTTTGCTACCTTCTGCCCACCATGAAGAGTTGGCCCCCTGCCATATGTCACCCCGCCTTGGAGACAGCCGACTATGGACTGATACACCTCCATCAACTGCAAGCCAAATAAACTTTTCCCCCTTTAACTTTGGGTGTCTGGTATTTTGTCTCAGCAACGAGCAAAGTAACTAAGACAGCCCCTCAGCGCTGGTAGTTGAATCCAGATATTATCTACCACTGAACTACACCTCTAGCTGTTTTTATTTTGAGACAGGGTACCACTAAGTTGTTCAGGCACGACCGGAACTTTGGATCCTCCTGCCTCAGCTTCCAGCAGTGTTGGGATTATATGCCAGGTGTATGCCACTTTGTGCATCCTAAAACTGTAACATTCTTGGAAGAAATCACATAAGTCTTTATGACCTTAGGTTATAGAATGACTTAGGTTAATTCACCAAAAGCACAAGAGACAAAAGAAAACACAGATAAATTGCACTTTATTAAAAAAAAGTTTTGTGATTCAAAAGACACCATCAAGAAAGTGCAAAGGCAACCCACAGAGCAAGAGGAAGCATTTTCAAATTACATATCTTAGGGAACTTGGATCCAGAACATAAGGGCTCATACTACTCAGTAATGAGAGAAAACCTGACTGTAAAACAGCTACAGGATCTAAATCGACACTGCTCTAGAGATACATGAATGGATAATAGGCACACAAAAGAATGGCCAACATCACTAACCGTCAGGGAATTTCAAATCAAAATGACTGTGAGATGTCACATCTCACCTACTAGGACAGCTATAACAAGAAAGATAACAGTTGTTGGTGAAGATGTGGAGAATGAGGACTTGCACACACTCCCAGAGGGAGTATAAAATGGCACAGCCACTTCCAAAAAGTTTGGCGGTTCTTCAAAAAGAAAAAAAAAGAAAGAAAGAAAGAAGGAAAGTTAAGCATCCATGACTCACCCATTCTACTCCTAGAAATATACCCAAGAGAAATGAAAACATATGTCTACACAGAAACTTGTATATAAATGTTCATAGCAACACAGTACATAATAGTCAAAGAATGGAAAAAATCAGATGTGGAATAATTATACAATGGGTCATTTGGCTGTAAAAAGGAATGAGTTTTTGACTCATAGTGTAATATAGTTCAGCTTGAACACATTATATACAAAGTAAGAAAAAGCGGTAACAAAAGACCATGTTTGTATGATTCTATTTATGTGAAATGATCAAACAGGCAAGCCAATAGGGACAGAAAGCAGATTATTTGTTGCCAGAGATTTTAGGGAGAGGACAAAGAGTGCTGACTAATGGATATGGAGTTTCTTTTTAGGGTAATAAACATGCTTCAGAATTCGACAGTGCTGATGGGCACACAACTCTATGAATATATGACACATGCTGGAACCATGTACTTTGTGTGAAATATATGATAATGCGAATTATATTTTAATAAAAATGTTATTTAAAAAAATCACTCAGGCCATGCAAGGAAAAAAAGATTAACTAGAACTTACAGTGAAAAAAATGGCTTCTAGCTAATGTTGTGCACAATGTTACAGATATTCCTATTACTGGGATTTATATCATACAGTTTTGCTTTCAAGAGAACCATTTTTGAGACAAGAAAATTTTTTAAGGCTGAAATGCTCACACTATCAGTGTCCACATTAAGCACTTGTCTACCTACGTGAGGCTGAGCAACAAAGCTAATCTAAGCTGGGCAAGCCAAAAGAGAATCTGGTTATCTGCATGTTAGAAAGAAGTTTAAAACAGGACTAAACAATTACCTAGACAGAGGAAACTATACCACAAGAGAATGGCAATGAAATTATAATTGGTCACTTCACATCCGTTTCATGAAAGGGGCCTAAAAGGGCGGTGTGTTCTGTGTGGACTCTCACAGGGACCTAATGATTCCACCCTGGTCTATGCCCACAAGTAACTCGGCCTGACTGAGACAGGAGAGAGACCAGGAGCGAGGACTGAGGACGCCATATGAACTGCAGGGGTGCCTCACAGGAGACCAGCCACAGAAGGTCATACGTACCCCAAACACTCCTGTTTCCCATTACCTATTTTCCCAGCAAGAAATCATCAGAATCTTTCTTTAGCTTGCTTGTAGTTGTCACTCTTTAGCTTTCTTGATGAATAATGTACCATATAAAGGCACACCAGTGGCTGTACATAGTATGGCGCCCACAATACAACCAGGAAGAAGGCAGGCATACAAGGAAAAACTGAAGCCAGGGCTAGTGAGTGCATGGCAATGCAAGTGGGCTGGGCAGGGCTGAGATGGTGGTCTGAGGAACGGCATGGGTTTGGAGAGGTTCCCTATGTGCCATTTATGCAAGGTCTACGTATTGTTCTTAGAATACAAAAAACATGTGTCCAGTCTATGAGGCAAAAGTAAGGAGCAAAGAATATAGGCTTTGGGTTAGATGGCCTGGGCTTCATCCCTAGGCTCACCTCTCTCTGCTGTGTAACCAAAAGCAAATGGCTTAAACTCTTGGGCCTTAGTTTCCTCATCTATAAAATAAGAGATTAAAGAATGTGGTTAAGAGTCAGTTAAAAGCATGCCTGTATCCCAGCACTCAGGAGGCCAAGGCCAGCGTGGGCTACATAGTACGCTCAGAGTGAGACCCTATCTCAACACAAAAAGCGGGGTAGGGTAGGGTGGGGTGTCAATTAATATTTGTAAAAAGTCTTAGAACAGTGTAGCCCATGACTGAATACTGCTATTCATACTTCAGAATTTAGTGCTTATATCTAAACACATCATTTCTGATTTATAGACTTTCAGTACATTCTGGTATAACGACACCGATGAATATCTTGTTTGACAAGGTTCTGAATGTATTCAACTGTATCTGTTTATGCAAAAAACTTTAGAGTAGCCTGACCTTAACAAGTGACTGGTGGGATCCAGTACTTAGAAGAATGATGGATGCTACTGTACTTTTAAAAGGAGAAGAAATGTGGTAAAATTATTAGATATGACCACATTGGTGACTCATATTGTGAATCATGAAAAATTCTAAGCCTGGGGCTGTTTTTATTCACTATGGCTGTTTTCCCATAGGTTTGCCACCACTTCTCTAAAACAACAGTTTATGAATATTCTAGACCCACAGAGGGGAACAGATTTTGCCATTTGACAGTTCTTAGAACTCTACAAGGAAATCTTCTTAGGTACTGTCTATCAACAAACTGACTGAGGGCAAATATCACAGCCTCCCTGCCCTTCCCTGTTGCAGCATTTCAGTCTGTGTTCCTAACACTACCTGCTTAGTCCTCTCCCTGGCCCTTGGCTGAGCCTCCTCCAGTCCTTAGGTTTCCTTTATTTGGTCAAATAAGAACTTAAGGGGAAAAGTGACTGGATCAGGCCACCAGCAGCCTAAACACAATTCATTCAAATACTTTCCCTCAGAGCACACGGCAAAATAAAGACAGGAAACTCAGAGTTTCTTACCGCAATGCTAGAGAAAAGGCCGCTGTTAAAGTGCCTTTGGACAGACAAGGCCGGGATCTGGCCAGGCCTCGGGTCAACAATACCTGAAAAGAACATTTAACTGGTCAGAGGACAATACCAACTTTGTAGCAGTTTTTTTTTTGGGGGGGGGGTACCAGGGATTGAACTCGGGTCCTTGCGCTTGCAAGGCAGGCCACTGGACCGCTGAGCTAAATCCCCGGCTGTAGCAGTTTTTATGTTAAAAAACAGAAGCAAAATTTGTAAAATATGAAAGGTACTGGGTATGGAGTCTTATTCTACTATTGTTTTCCTACTTTAAATATTACATTTATTTTTGTTTATTTTGTGGAGAGAGGGTCTTGCTATATAGCCCAGACTGGCTTTAAACTCGTGCTCTTCCTGCCTCAGACTCCCAAGTGCTGAGAATACAGGCATGTACCATGACATCCAGTCTTAAATATTATATTAATAAACAGTTAAGAAAAAACAAACAAACAAACAAAAAACTAACAGCTGAGGGCCAGGGATGTAGCTCAGTGTTGCTTCATCTGCCTGGCAAGCACAAGATCCTGAGTTTGATCCTTGGTACTGGGGAAAAAAACGCCAAAAAACAAAAAAACAGCTGGAAGCTGGACTGAGGGGCATGTGTTTATGTTGCCAGCTAGCAGGAGGCTGAGGAAGGAGGATCACTTGAGCCTAGGAGTTCTGGGACAGTGTGGGAACATAGAGAAATCTTGTTTCAAGAAAGAAAAAGAACCTAGGCACACAGTGGTGCTCACTTGTAATCCTAGCTACTCAGGAGGCTGAGGCTGAAGGATCACAAGTTCAAGGACAGCACCAGGCAACTTAGCAAGACCCTGCCTCAAAACAAAAAACGGAAATGTCTGGGGTTGTATCTCAGAAAAAAAAAAAACATCAGCTAACAACAAGAATACCTGACTTAAACTTCAAGGCTATGTTACCGAGAAGCAGTTCACAGTTACAGTATCAGGTGTAGGTTTCCTATACTGAGATAAACTGCTGACAGATCAGTTTTTGCCATCGTGCTACTTCACAGCATTGTGGTGAGGAGAGCAAGAGACCAAATCAGGAAACAGCCCACTGCAGGGCAGGGCAGAAGGGCAACCTCAACACTACTTCTCAAACTCAAGAATTCCACAGCAGCCAAGCTTCTAACAATTCTTGGGGGTACAACCAGGCACAGGAAGGTGTCCCCCGGACACAGGACATTTAAGAACACAGAGCTAGAAATACAATTCCAGACCTACGAAGGGACCTAAAGGAACAAGACATGAGACCTCTTTCCTGAGTTTAAATTTCAAAACAATGGATTACCCATGCAGCCAAAACTGTAACGCCCTTGTTACAGGGATCCCAATGCCACCATCCCCCACTTTCCCTGAACCACCGGTGACCCAAGGCAGGGGGAAGGAGGAGAGGACACCGGTCATTAAACTCTCCCTACAGAAAGTGTTTCTGTGTGAGGGCACCAGATGTGCCCAAACCAGTGAAGGAGTTTAACTTCAGGCAGTGGACAATGGGAAATCACATCTTAGGGGTGGCATCACATACCCGCAACACAGAATAAAATCCGTGCTGGTTGAGATGTCCCATTATATTTGCACAAATGTGGTTCATGGCAGGTCGAAGGCTCTCACCTAAATATAGAAAAAAGTTTGAGGAAAAAAAGAAAATCTTGCCATAATGTAACCCATTTTTCTTGGACAGAGAATTATGGCCCAGGCCCAGACTGTAAGGAAATGTGATTCTGACTGGCTTGGCTTTCTGCTCCCTGCTGTCTGGTCTGAATGGTGGCACAGGGAGGCTCTGCACATCCTGATTCTATCTCTCCTGCAAGGCCTGGCTCAAGTGTCACTTCTTGGGTGTAGGGTCCTTTCTTTTCTTCTGCAAGAAGGAATGTTGTTGTCCTCCTAGCTCCCTGTGCTCCTTTCTGACTCCCTGCTAGGGTGTGGTTCCTTCTATTCTCCCTGGATGCCTACTCTCCCCACTGGGACATGAGTTTCCTGCAGGGATTAGAATTCAATTTATTTTTAAAATGTTTTTTGAGACAGGGTCTCGCTAGGTAGGTCGGGCTGGCCTTGGAACTCAGTGATCCTCCTGTCACAGCCAGGAATGTGATTACAGGTGTGTGCCACCCTGCTTGGCTTAACCATTTTTTAGATCCCTCCCAGAGTCCATGATAATGTCCAAAGTAAACCCTCCTTGTTTGCCTGGAGCTTCTGCATACACAGTCTCTCCTGCTTTCAGTCTCTTCCTCCTTCTTCACTCTGAGCACTACCTCTCCTTCCAGCTCTGAGCTCAGACATTACTTCTGCAAGGAAAATTGAGCCCCAGGCCAAGAAAGCCTTCCTCATTCCAAATGAATACTCTCATTCCTTAGGGCTCTTCCTTCCTAGCGGTTATTATACCGATTCTCATCATCTTATAGAGACATCTCACAAATTCAGCGTTTGTCAGGGCTGGTTCCAGAACCCCTTCTCTATGTCAAAATCCACGGATGCTCAAGTCTCTCACATAAAATGTTGTAGTTTGCACACATTTCCTCCTGTGTACTACAAATCACTTGTAGATTACTGGTAGCACCTAATACGATGTAAATGATATGTTGAGTGTTTGTTAAAATATATTGTTAAGGAATGATAAGAAAAGAAGTCTCTACATGTTTGGTATAGATGCATTTTTTTTCAAATACTTTTGATCCATGATTGGTTGGCTGAATCCATTGAGAAGGAACCTGCAAATATGGAGGCCAGCTCTGTATGAGTGAGTTCTACTTATTATCTCTAGACTCTGAGTTCTGTGAGGGCCAGAGCACCAAAAATCTCTAGAGGGCAGAGGCCTTTTCTGTTTTCTCATCACTGTGTCCCCAGAAACCAAGGGTACACAGTACACTGTCAGCTGAATGGATGTATAAAAAAGAATATATGAAATATGTAAGGCTAAGGACAATTGCTTCTTCAGGGAAGAAGGTAGCTTTACAATACAAATTTTATGGGCAAAATAGAACTACTTGCTACCTAATGGTTTTACAAACAAAATGAGAAAGTTTAAATGAACATTATCATTTACAGGCTGAGGTGGGAATTATAAAAAATGAGATCAGAATATCCTTTAAACGTAAGTTTCAATGGGGGACAACGGAACACACAATACTGGCACACTCTGGATCCTGCCATACAGTTTGTCAGGAAGTGCCAAGGGCATCTCTGTAGTCTCAGAGTTGTCCCTGAAGCTCCCAGTTGTAATACTACTTCTTAGAAAGGTGAAGAGGTGCCCTATCCTCTCCGCAAATGCCAGGTAGGAAAGATTTTTGAAGCAAGTCCCACTGACCTTTGCCTCGGAGAATTTTCCACGTGGAAGCATCTGTGAAGGTGACAAGCATGGTAAGGTACAGTGTGATGAGTTTGGAGTCTTGTAAGATTTCAGGCTGGAAACAGTAAGAAGAGGAAGATTAACACTCGTACCACCCAATCCCAGGCGGTAGAGCACCCATTTACAAGCTTTTCAGGGTGCTTAGACTAGAATAACTGAGTCAGGACTGTAAGTCTATTCCTCTTCTCTTGGGGAAGGACCACTGTGGAGTCAGATGATGAGGATTTCATCACTTAGTGCTCAACCAAGTAACCAGTGCTCTTGGGAATGCAGCACTGACCATTCTTGGGAAACAGGAAGACAGGGCTGGATTACCACACCTGCATATATTTGTCTGTGTGTTTGAACACTGTAGCAACTGTAGAAATGCAACTGAGCCTAACAGAGACTCTGGGTTCTGACTTTGGGCTTCACAACTTTGTGATCTTGGGCATGTTTTTTAACCTCTGTGCTTGACTTCCTCATTTGTTGACTGGAAACAGTAACATGTTTTCCTCATGGGGTTTGCTGGGAGGAAAAAAAAAGGGATTAACGCACACAAAGCCCAGCACATGGGTAAATCCATATATTGTTGGTTACTATTTGTTTTTTTTTTTTTTTTTTTTTTTTTTTTTTTTTTTTTTTTTTGGTACTGGGTATTGAACTCAGGACCTTGTGCTTGCAAGGCAGGCGTGGTGCCACTGAGCTAAAACCCCGGCACTGCTGGTTACTATTATGATTGTTCACTGTTTCACAAGAGTAACTCAGGAAAAATGTTTGCCTGCTTTCCAGGCTCACAGACCTACAGCACACGCACCTGAAAGGGAGACTGAAGCATATCAGTTCAAACCCTACACTCACAGGGAATGAGAGGGGGAAATTACTTGATATGGGATGGGTGGGAAATCAGCAACAACAACAGAACTAAATCGCAGATCCTCCTGGCTCCAGGCCCAGTGCTTTTTTCTCCCAATACCTGCTTCTATACATAAATTATTCTTATGTTTTTAGAGTAGGAGAGCCTCTTCTCAAAGAGAAACTGTGAAGGAAATGGATCTATCTCGCTCCAGTGGAAATAGGGGAGTGATCTGCTTGCCTGGCCCAAGGCGTTTTGGTGGAAGCTCAGGGATCTGAGCCCAGGGTGTGAGAACACTTCCCCGTGCCCTGAGCCTCACCTGACAAGCTGCTTGCGGCTTGCTACTGGCTTGCTGCCTTGGGTGGGCTGTGATCAAGAGCTGTTCACCAGCACCCCATCAGCTGGAGATGGGAGGATTTGGGGACATTTACTCCAGTGCTCAGGTACAACCTGAGTCCTTGAAAAGCCTTGATCTCTGAAACCTCTCCTTTGCTGTGTGCACGGTAGGAAGAATGTTCTCTATCTCTGCTCACACTCCCTTCTACCTCTGTGTAACACAGGGGCAGGCACAGCACCCGCCTGGGTCAGGAGCAGTAGCACTTTGCTCTCGCCACTCTGCCTGATTCAGGGTTGAGCCCGGAGTCCCACTGAGCCTGTAAGAATCCTCCTGAATTTTTGAGCTAGTTGGGGAGGCCTCGTTTTTCTCTTTGGTCAAGATAGCATGGATGTGAGGTCAGAACTGCTGACTGCCATGAGTACAGCAGGAGAGGATGCAGGGCCTCCTAAAGGGAGCAGAGATAACAGAAAAGAACTAGAAGAGTCTAGAAGTCCTAAGCTCTAGTCATGCCCAGCTGTCAAGTCTGAGAACATATTCTATAACAAAATGTTCTTTCTTACTTAGGCTGTTTGCATTACTTACTTGACTCATTTTGGGTTTCTGTATCTTAGCTCTAAGAAGAGGCCTGATGAGCACAGTGATACAAATCATAAAGTATTCATTATATCAAAAGAACAAGAAGGTAGACAGGATTCCCTGGCACTGAGACTATGTCAACTGTGGTCAATGTTCAACATATTATACCAAGAAGGGCTTATAGTGCTAACAGCATCTGTTTTACTCTCTCCCAGAACAGTGGCTCGACAGTAATTCTTTAGTGGATCCTGAATGATAGCTCTCCACAGCTATAACCAACAAGGGGATGATGAGGACTAAAAATATACAGGGAAGGTTCCAAAGAATGACGGATTTACAGGTTTGTTTTTACCTTGAGCTGCTCAAGAAACTCACAGCAATACCACAGAATAGACTTGATCTGTTTAATCCACAGGAGAGTAAGATCCTTGGAAAGAGCCAGGGACACGTACCACACCTACAAGCAGAGGAGGAGGAACGTGATGGCAGTTACAGGGCCTCACTACCGGAGCTGGACCTATGAGCTAAGACGGGCACCAAATAAAGTGGTAAAGATGAATGGGTGGATAAATAGCAAGTAGGGCTAAACCCAAAGATCAAAAAACCTGGTAAGGGAATTTATTGTCCTGAGTAAGAGGCAAGAGCAGAACACACCTTCTTGGACAATGAAGACCAAGGCATCTCCTGAACTCTGTTTTCCATCCACCCATTATTTATTGGCATGTGTGGCCCTCAAGAGCTTGGAGGAGACTCTCTGGCCCCTGAGTCACTTACCTTTGGTTCGTTCTCGGCATCCATGCTGCTCAAGATGCAACGACACAACTTTTCAAATCTCTGCAGAGGCAGAAAAGGGATCAGAAATTCCCACAAGTAACCGAAAATTGAGAGGGAGACGGGCACACAAATCCGGTGGGTATCTGATGTGTGCAGGCAATATGCCAGGTAACTCACTGTGATCATATTCAATTCCTCCTTACAGATGTGGAGACTGAGGGTCAGAAGAGCTAAAGACAGCTTCTCAAATAACTGGCCCCTAGGCTAGATGAACCCTACTGAGGGGTTTCAGAAACTAGTGTATTTCATATAAAAATCCAGAATGGAGGTTTTTGTTGTTTGTTTTTGCAGTGAACCTTGGGCCTCAAACATAGCAGGCAAGCCCTCTACCACTAAGCTGCATCCCTGGGCTCGTAATGCTTTTTGAAAACTGAAATTACATCTGAAAAACTAGGCTTGGATTGGCAGCAGTGGTGGTCTTCAGTCCACCATTGTAAGCACTGTGAACAGTGACTTTTGCCTCACAGCTATCAGCTAAACGTCGCTGTATCATCACTTTTATCCTGCTGCGCAAAAGGAAGAAAGTAGAAACTGGAAAACAGATTACGCTCTGGCTGTACTACTCCCAGATCCACCTGGAAAAATGCGATGGCCCTGCAGTCTCCTCCACTGTAAGACACGGGTCACCTGCCTGAGCTTGCCTGTGCTCATCTACCTGACAGGTACCTTATGCCCATGCAACCCTCCCTCTCTGCTGGGCTGGGAGCTCCACAGGGGTAGAAACCTTGCTGTCTTGTATCCTCGTGAAGCCTCAGTGGCATCCTTAGTACTATTACAGAAAATTACCTGCCTCCCTGGGACTGTATTTTCCAAGCTAATCTTCTCAACTTGAAGGTGGAAAACTAGTGTTTTTGGTTTGGCTAGCAATGTGTTAAAAAAAAATTCAAATTAGTTACCAATTTATATCAATTAGAGCATTAAGCATAAAGACCCAGGTCTCTAGTGTTTTTGGTTTTGGCAGTACTGAGGATTAAACCCAGGGTCTCCCGCTGAAGTACATCCTCAGCTCTTTTCTCAATTTTTTTTAGTTTTGAGACAGGGTCTCAGTCACTAACTTGTGCAGGCTGCGTTCATATGTGTGATCCTCCTGCCTCAATGCCCCCAGACACCAGCTTCTGTCTGTTTAAAAAATCACAGATAAGTCCACCACCGGAAGGAACCTACTAGAATGTGCCTCCCTTTGGACGACAGGAAACAAACCTCACTGCTTCCTTTGATGCTCTTACTACTACAGCCTGTCAGTTACTGTTTCTTATGTTTTATACTTCTCACTGTGTTTTCCTTCATATATAGTGTCTTTGTTTAGCAGTACTGGGGATTGAATCCAGAGCCTCAGCACTGAGCTACAGGCCTAATCCTATTTTATTCTGCTAGAGTCTTGAGTTGCATAGGCGGAGCTTGAGCTTGCAATCCTCTCACCTCAGCCTCCCTAGTGCTGGACATACTGGTATGTGCCACCATACCTGGCTTCATATATGGTGTCTTTTAGTCATATACCTAGGCAGCCTGGCTACTGCATGCATCTGAGTCCAACTTGTGTTCGTAACAGTGTGAAAAGATCCCCAGAAACCATGGGCACAATCTCTACAAAACAGGTCCCAAGAAAACAAAATGGGCAGGAGGTAGGGGTAAAATACCTACACATACACACATACACACACACACACACACACACACACACACACACTATCATTATTTACCTCATTGTCCTCTTTAATCTTGAATAAGAAGAGCAGTTTCCTGGCAGTCTTGAAAATACAAAGTGCACTTCTTTTACTGGACCCCGAGTCATCGTCTTTTAAAAACTCATCAATCTCTCTCCTAGGAAGGGAAGAGTAAAAACAAAGACATTTCAAATTAGGAGCTCACAGCATCTGGAGGCACTGTAAGGGAAAACAAATTCTTTTTCTTCTTATTTGGGAGCAGGAGAAAAATGTGCTGTGGAGTTCCTCGCACCCACCTGATGTCTCTATGCAGTCGGTGCCGACACAGGAAACTCCGGACATGAGCCTGGATATCCACGGCTGCACGCTCCCGCTCCTTCTGAACCAGTCTTTCTTCTCGTGCCTGCCGGGTTCTGTCGATAAACCATGCTCTCGAGGTCTGAGACACAGTGAACATGTTTGCAAACTTGCACAAACTCTGCAAGGAAAATGGCAAGGAGCTGCTGTGGATGGCTGAAAAACACACATGGAAAAGGGCTCACGTGCAAAGGGTGGGCAGAGACCGGGGCAGCAGCAGAGAGAGATTCAGGACCCTCTAGCACCTTCCACAGTGCTCTCAGCAACCCTGGCACAACTCAGATTCCTATTTGTTCCTTTCAGGCAATTCACCAAGATCAGGGATACTATATTCTATATTACATAATTATATTTTCTCAAGAGAAAGAGAATACATAATGCCTGGCACAAAGTACTGGAAGGCTCTGCATAAGTTTGTTTATTTATTTATGGTATCAGGGATTGAACTCAGGACTTTGTGCTTGTCAGGCAGGGGTGTGTACAAGTTTAATAAAGGAAAAGAGCATGAACCATAAAGCTCCAGCTCAAATCAGGTATCTTCTAAGTCAAAGATTCTCCGATACAGTATTTAAATTTTCTGCAGAAGTCTACCATATTTGGGAAGCTAACAATAAGCAATAAACTCTTTTGCCAGGTAAAGGCTTGAGGGGAAAAAAAAATCAAACATGATTATTTGTCGCTATTATTTTAGTCATCCATACACTCAACAAACGTTTACTTGTACCTATGTTGTGCCCAGCACAAAAAAACGTCTTTTTCTTTTTGAAGGGGTTATTTTAGCACTAAAAAGGCACAAAGTATCTGGGTGTGATGGCGCACAGCTGTAATCCCAGCTACTTGGGAGGCTATGCAGAAAAGACTGGAAGGATGAGGCCAGCCTGGGCAACCCAGTGAGACCCTGCCTCAAAATAAAAATTGAAAAAAAAGGGCCAGTGGTATACTCAGTGGTAGGAAGGCTGCCTCACACACACCAATCCCTGAGTTCAATCCCTAGTACGGGGAGGGAGATTGGGGGGCAGGACTGAAATGAATTTCGGAAATCCACTTCTGGAAAACTCTCTTTACCAGGTTAAGTCACTCAAAGCAGCACCTATGAAGAAACATCATTAAGAATAAAAAGTTGCGCGAGTCTTCTGCCACATGAACATATTTGGGACTTCTATGGTCCCTTTTCAACACTGATTCACACCTGTCAAATAACACCAGGACCGCCAACATGTGAGTCTGTCTTCAGCATTTTTTAAGAGCCTGCCTAACCAAAGGAGAGTGAGGAGGCTGGAGGAAGAAAAGCAGCTGTCTTCTGAATTCTTTACTCTTTTCAGCCCAATCTAGAGACCTCACCTGACAACTCACCCAACTAGCAGAAATGCTAGGTAACCATTAGTGATCCTGCACAGGACACACAGCTGAGGACAGCTTCTCACTTCAAAGGAGCTTGTTTTTTTGTTTGTTTTTTTCTGACAGAAGCAGAAAAGAATCCAGATTTAAAGTTGTTTTATAGGTGTGGTGTCATGTATCTTCATGAATAGTGTAAGTAACTAATACAGTGCTTGAAGTTTAAGAAAAAATTATGTCCTGTTTAGTTAACATCTCATCTGAATACTACAACTGTATCTCCCCAGTTCTTGAAATATAAAGGGAATAGGTTTAAAATAATTCTAAAGAAGTTGTTGAATTAAAGCTTTACAGGCTCTGGGATGGTAAACAAAAGTAACAGAGGTGAGGAAATATTTAAAAACTATTGAAAATGTTGACATCTTTTAACAGTATGGAAAAATGTTTATGTTCTTGAGTGGAAAAAATGGCTGCCTGTGAACCATACAATCCAGTTACCTAACGGAAAAAACAAATCTGCAGGCAGATACCAAACTGGATGAAATATGCCAACTTGTCAAGACTGGCTAAACATGAAGGCCTTGGATCAATCTGCAGCACTATTACACACAAAAAAGTGGTTGTTTTGAGGCAATGTAAAATTATGGAAAATCTTGTTTTTATTTTCTAAAGTTCCCAAATTTTCCAGACAGCATATAGTAATTGGCATGGCATAGAAACACACTGGATTTGGAAGCACACAGAGCTCTACCAGTATTGTAGAGACTGAGTCTTTGTCTTTATCTGTTAATCGGCTCAGAGGCCCATCATGAGAACTGAGATGTGCATCAAGCACCTACTGAGATGACAACAGAGCACAGCCAATAAGTCTGTTTGATGCATTATTTTTATGGATGCAATTTTTTTTTTTAACTCTTGTGCAGAAATTCCCATCTGCTGTCACTAAGATTCTTTGGATAGAAGTAACGCCAGCTCCTTGATGTACTTCAATCATTACATTTTTTCCTATCCTCAAGTGGCTTAAACCAGTCTTGGCACTTAGGTTACGAAGCCCTGGGCCTAGTCATAACGGCTTCAAGTTCCTGAGTGCAAAGGAGCAGGGCCTAACCCATGAGCACAACATATGATCTCTCTGTAACATGTCCCTTATTTGGCGGTGGGTGGGTGGGTTCTTGGGGGGGCAGTCACAGGGATCAGAAAAGGGAGCTTCTTCTCAATGGAAAGACAGACGATTGCATGTAATCTGTGCCTAATTACCTGTAGGCTCATCTCCAAACTTTTACTTCTCTCAGGGGACCTCAGAGAATAAGATCCCTTTTTTGAGATTATACCAAATCTCTTGGCTACATTGGTTTGTTTACACTGTATGATAGTCTATGTAGCTTTTCTCATTTTTTTTCAATATACCTTCTCCATTTGCATAACGTGTACTATAACTCATCAAAGAAAATATACATATACCAGGTACTTATTCTGTTAAGTGCTTCTGAGAATGAAAGAAAAGACTAACAGAAAAGGACTTGGATCAGAGTCCTTATTCTAACCTTCATTTTGCCAATTTATTTATATATACATATATTTTAATTACTATACATATGTTGATAAACATATATATGAAAATAAAATACAGTCCAGGTTAGACCATTAGCAAGTGGCAGAGTCATGATTTTATTACAGACAGGATTCAAACTCTGAACTACTTCTGTATTCCCATGATACTTGCTCAGAAATCAGTCTTTTCTGGGAGGTCAATTTCATGGAGAAGTACAAAAGCCCACGATACTCCAGAAAGTATTGTCCCAGGGTCAAGTAACATAAATATTAACTATTGAATGATTTTTTCTATAAGAAGGGCGGCCAGTTTAATGACCAGAAAAATTTGTTACAGACTATGTATCAGACACCATACAGATATTTAACCAAACCTGTCTTTTCAACAGCTCTGTCTTGTTAGGTCTCAATAAGTTTTTTTTTTTTTTTTTAAACTCAGGAATACACAACAAGACTCGGAAAAATCATTAATATTTGCTACCATTTATTGAAAGCTACAGCTATCTAGGTGGGTGCTAATATCAATTCCATCTTCAAGGGGGAAAATGAAACACAGAGGAGTCATGAGTTGCCAAAGATCTCTGGGCTTCTAAATTCGAACCTAAAGCAATACCTTATTGGTAAGTATTCTACACAAGATCCAAGGCTCCTGCTTCACAGAATGGCAAAACAAAGAGAAACTAAGAACGCATGGCTACCCATGGGGCTCGGTCCAAGTCGAATTATGATTGAGCTTTCCTTTATTAAGAAACCGGGGATTAGGTACGCTAACAAAACATTCTCTAGGAAACAAGCCAATTATTCCATTTTACAAAGGAAACTTAGAGTCAGAGAGGTGAGTGGACTCAGCCAGGGTCACAAGACAAGCGAATAGAAATCGAATTCCAGTATGAGTGACTCCTGAGGCCCAGTGTCTTTCCTTGGCATCAACAACCACCACAACAAATCCTGTTCGCCCAGCATTAGTTCATTCGTAAAGGGTTATCGCCCCAAAGAAGAAAAGAGGTGGAAAGACTCCTGCGGATAGAAAGGCAGCCCACAGAACATACCCCTCCGACCGACTAAGCAGACTCGGCTCCAGAACCACCTCCCTCAAAGTCCCCATCCCCACCCAGAGAACCGATGACCCTTGTTCCCACTCGCTACCGGCAGGCTATAGACCTTTATCCATTCGAGGCCCCGCGCTCGGGGTCCGGGCTGCAGCTCCCACCGCCTCAGCCCAATATCCCCGAGTTCTGCCAGACCCGGGGCACCGGCAAAAGACCGACCGCCATCTTGCCCCAGGGTGTTCGCTCTCCCAACTCCGCCGGGAAGCTAGTATCCGGTTCCGGGAAACAAGAATTCTGCAGTTTATTTGCCCGGGAGTAAAAACTTCCTTTCGCTTCTCCTCTTCTCTGGCAGGTGACAAACCTGAACATTCAGGAGTGGGATAAATGCCTGACCCAACTGAGGGGAGATGGAACTCATCCCGGCAAGGTAGGTTAGAAAGAAAGTGGTACTATCTGGGACCACGTCGGACACTTTAGGGAAGTGGCCTCTGCGGGGCGGAAGTGGGATGAGAGCAGCGGAAGTTTCCGCCCCGTCCCGCCTCCGCTCACGGCTCATGTAAACTGGGTGTTTCCTGCCTCTCAGTCCGCATTTGGAGACTCCGGCGTCCTCCGACTTTTAATGGTAAGGAGGGCGGTGCCCTCGATTTGAGGGCTCTCCGGCGGCTGAAGGGGCCGGGGAGCGACAGAGTAGAGGGAGAAAGGACTGAAAGGAAGGGGTGCTTTGAGGATTGATCTCGGTAGTTGGGGATGTGGTTTGGGGGCTTG